TAAAGTTTCCATCGAAGTTTACAGGGTTTCGATCATATAACGGCCTCAATGCTTATGTTATTTTCTCTTAGACAAAGTATACTTGGACGTTATAAGTTACTCGGTTATTATATTACGTTGGGCTTTCATATGTCATATCCTCATGTTTGTACTTCTCTAGAATCTTCTTAAACTCGTAAGACATAAGAGATGTAGTAGCTTCACGTGTGCGACGAAGGATGATCTCTGTCGTAGGGATTTGATGTGACCCGATATTTAAGGCACTAGAGCCGTCAACGTTGTTAATTTCAAACGTTCCACTCTTCTTATTGGCCACAGAGATCATAAATGGTTTAATATATTTAGCCGTAAGCACAGTTGTATCGGAGTTGCGAGCCATAATGTTGACTATATCGCTTACCTCAAACTCGACTATTTTCTTGGTATCATTCCATCGCTTTTGTCTCTTCTTGAGAGCGATGTCCTTCATCTCCCTTAAGCAAGGATAGACCACATCTCTGGTCCGACGCATCTTCTCTAACCATGGTAACACATGATCATCTTGAGACTCCTTGCTGAAGGGGATCTGTAATTCACTATAACGGCTCCGAATAGTGAGTGGCTGTTGTACCAGTGACTGAATCAGGGGATTCGTTCATCTGTGTCTGTACCCAATTGATTGAGTACGGCCATATGTCAGCATCATCAAGTAGTGCTGTTCGCATGAACTCCTTCATCTTTCTATGTCGTACCTCGTTCACACCTTGTGTCTGAGGCTTGTAAGGTACACCCATCTTATGGCATGATCCCGCAACGAGTAACAGTGTCGTCATGACATCTCCTGTAAACTCACTACCGTTGTCGGAACCTTACAATAGCTGGCCAGCCGAAATCTGCGAAGCACATATATATGCACTCAGCCACAGTTTGTGTCGATTTATCTTTCAGCGGATACAATACATTATATCTTGACACGACATCAAACACGTGACAGATATATTTATCCTTCGCGTGTTCGGATTTGGTAACATTTTATGACTATAACTTTCCAGATGATTGACGCCCTACTGACCTACTTTGACGAGTTAACGACAGTGGTTAAAATACAGACAGGGAGCATGTACACGGGTTCCACCGTCTACCACTGGGATTATGTGAATAATACCTTGTCATCATGCTGGCTGTAAAATACGGCCTCCGGTCAGCCTAAAATATCAAGATCAAATAAGAAAACACATTGGTTTTTATCTGTATTTAAAATAATTTAATACAAGTATGCAACATTTTATGACTGTCACTTTCCAAATGGTTGACGCCCTACTGACCTACCTCGGCGATTTAACGATAGTGGTTAAACTACAGACAGAGAGCATGTACACAGGTTCCATCGCCAACCACTGACATCATGGCAGTGTCTGGAGGGTTTCTTCACGGCACTAGGCCCAAAGACAGGAAGGAGCTGATCTCCTTGTTGATAATTATCTCCTGGTGGTAGGGCACGACTCCTGCCAAACCCGTGAAACCGCTTACACGTCTTTGGCATCCGTCGCTATGTGGTAGAGAAGTAGACGACTCGTACCTCACCGATTGAGCCTTGCAAGCCACCAAACGCCAAGCCCTCGTGGAACCCAGCCTGGTCGTGGGTCTGGAAAACCTAGCCACCCAGCTGTCCAACACGGAATTAATCCCAACTGACGCCGATATGCCCAAACCGTGAAACCGCTTACATGTCTTGGCATTCCTCGCTATGTAGTAGAGAAAATAGAGGACATGTACGTCACCGATGGAACCTTGGAAGCCACCAAACTCCAGGCCTCGCAGAACCCGAACTGATCCTGGGTCTGGAGCACCTAGCTACCCCAGCTGTCCGACACGAAAATAATCACAACTGACGCCGATATCGAAAGCTCTAGGACACCAGCCCCTCGCTACCAGATCGTCCCCAGCTGACCACATCACACCCCAAATCTCTCCGACAACCGCAAGTATTGCAGAGGTAGAGGTCATCCGTCGGCATTGCTGAATACACTAACGGACCACACTTTTATGTTCCTGTTGGCCTTAGCATCCAAGCGAAACTACAGTTCAGCAGGTAAAGGCATGAGCGGATGCAAGTTCTCAGTGAAGAAATGAGTCTACGAATCTACATACTCCAGCGAGCTCAGTTGTCGGTACTTCTTTACACCGACCACAATCTCATCCTGAATATAACGACCAACCCCTCGAAATACGCGCAGGACGATACCTTAGAAAGCCGCCAGTTCTTTCGGTACATACAAGTGATGCATGAAGTAAAGATCAACTACCGCAACATACCTGGCCCACTCAATACTTTCGCGACTTTATGACCCATTGCTGCGACCACATGAAATCACTGGTGTTGCCCATGAACCACCGCATCTACTTTTACCTCCCACCACCTACCGCGGTCGCGGCGCTTGTGTTCCCACATGACCGTTCCAGTAAAAGGCTGAACAAATTATAGTTCCGGTAGTCGTACATCTTTGAGAGCAAACATGACGCTGAGTTTTTCGCAGACAGCAATATTTATATCATATTTGTCAATTGTAGCAGTGCAACAGGCAGTGGCACCTACGGCTGCAATTTATTTGCCGTTGACTTGGACGGCAAACACTGATACGGCAATAATCCAAGGAGTTGTAGATGTATTTTCCTAATCTAGTTATTGTATCCGACAGTACCCTCACTACATCGCTGCCGTTGGCTAGGACAACGCCGATCCACGCTGGTATATCACAGATCTCCACTATCAGGCCCCGTGTGATACCCTACTTACGCGCTAGGTCCGCCCTGAGCCACTATCTTCTCTCACGCTGACTAATGACCCACCTACTAAGGGGGTTTGGCTGCCTATCGCAGATTTCTCGCCACCGCCTACCACCACACAAAGTCTAGACGAATTCTCCACTTTGGCGCCTTTCATTAACGAGCCTCGCCAGATGGACGAAAACAAATCAAGTTTTCCGATCGAGGACAATGCCAGCCAGCCATTCAGGGTTGACCTTGCCTCTACGTGAGGTAGCCTTTACGAGCTCAAGTACATACGCGCCCTCTCAGAACCTCGCACAATCCCGGCCAAGCACATATCCTCTCACGATCGGTCACACACCATGCATAGCGGAACTTAAATACTTTGTAACCGACTGATCCCTCGACATTCTCCCTATTTTATGAGTTTCAAGAAGTGTTCGTTGACATAGACGACCTCGTTTGTGCAGCCGGCCTTGAGAGAGAACCACTGGTAGTCTCGTCAGACATAATCACCCTACCCACCGGCGACGTGATCCTCCCACCCGCACAGGCGAACTACACGGTGTTCCACATTATTTACCAACAGCTGTATGGCAGGAAACCACGCTATCTCTCTTCCGCCTAAGATCACGGACCTCTCCGTGGTTTACTCAGTGCTGGATCACTTTCCGCTGCAGTCCGCCCATGACTGGTTTCTGCCCCCATGGCTTTGGAGGTCATATGGACACTCCAAAAAAAAAAATTGCCACATACTGGCTGACCGTTTTCAGAACCCAATTCAGGTCAAATACTTCTAAGAATGTTCCGACTGCCCTCTTCAAGCCGATTTAAATCGTTTGATTCGTACGACCAATTTTCTTGGCTGGACGCGTGGTCTGGTCCAACTACGCAACCGCCCTATCCAAAATTCTTTAAGAGATCAATTTGGATTATATATTGATATCAGTCGAATATGGGAAGGGGGACTGTCCGGAATGGTGTCTCTCTGTTCCGGTACATGTGGCTGATTTTATGAACATACGTCGGCGTACCAGATACAATTCCGTGACGAACAGATCCGTCCCAGAAGCCATAATGTCATGGACCAGTACATTTAGGGCCAACGACTGTCAACAAGTGCACAGTATGTAACCACTAGTGAACATGAGAGAATTGACCACATTGAGAGTTTTTTCAAGACTGTCAAACCATGATTAATTCACTCGCTCACTGTAAAGCTTCACCACAGATGGAGCATATTATAACGTTGTCACATGGTTTAATGTAATACACTACACCTTACACGCTCAACAAACATAAACTTTGTCCCCACCCGTCTGACTCCGTTTTAACGGCACTTTTGGATGCTGAGACTACAGATTCTGAAGCCACACCGTCTGGACGAGCCAAATTGGACCGTGATCTTTTGGCCCTCCACCGTATTGAAGAAATTAAACTTACCCAGAAAGTAACGGCCGCTCTCCACCGTATTGACTGCCCCATGATTGTGATCGGCCATCAGGTACTCTATTGGCCAATGATCAAACCTCCATACAGGTTTGCTAAAGAACATGTACCCTCGGCATTCCACTATACCAAGGATATCATCCTTGATAAGAAAGGCCGGGCCCATGTCAAGAAGATCAGGGGTTATTCGCCTCTCTTTGGACGCTCGGAGTTGGTTCTTAATGGGAACATCGCCTCACTGTTTCGCATACTTCTTTTTCAACAACTGACTACAGCGTATGAACGCCAGAAGTTCATTTTCGCATTGCGTACCTATACTGCAGCCGTTCGTTTTTAATATGGCATAAGTTGTACCTACACCAATTAAATACACATTTGCACCTTACACGGCCACCCCAGGTCTAACCAATTCACAGAAGACGATGAAGATTTGTTCTCAACCCACGCTCATCAGATCCCTAACGCTTCCGGAAATTTAACCCAATTATGTCACGGTTTTTGTTTCGGAGAACACTTCACTTTCCGCTAGAAATTGCTAAGTGCTAACCACCTGGAAGTTCAAACACGACTCATTCTCGATATCGATGTCGCCCATTTGTGGGACTTAACAACGACTCCGGATCTACCTTCGATGTCGACCACGAGTTTATGTCGATATCAAGGTTTAGAGTTTCGATGTGCATATGATACACGGCTTGCTGCTAACCCCCACCATCGCCTCCGTTCGGCGCAAATGTGCTATCCATATTTACTATTTATCACCTAGCTAGTTGACCTATTTACGAGGCATGTGTTCTATTTTCAGAAGGCTACGGGCTTGGGTTCTTTTTTTTCTTTTTTTGAGAAATAGACGGCTACAGTACGTATGTATTTATTTATATAAAAAATATGTTTTAGGGTTTTCAATTTTTTTCTTTATTAGGCTGCCATAATAAGCCCACTATACATAACTTCATGAAGCTATGCTGGGTTCTCTCTGAGTTCTCTCTGGGTTTGGAATCTGCATACTACATCATATTTACACGATAATACCCTGTATGTATGTACTTCCATTTTAAGAGCATAAAACAAAGTGAGAAAAAGCTGAGAGAATCTTGAATGTATTCATAGACACAAAGCATGTGCATGGTGTATGTATGCATGTACGTTTGTATTTATGTATATACTAGGTAGCCTAATACCAGGTACACACGAGGATGCACTCTGTCTACGATGCGAACTTAGCAAATTCTCATCGAAGAAAGCTAGTTGAAAGCTAGTTGCTGATATAATTCTAGTACGAGATTATATTCTCGAAACGCACTTTCACACGTAGAAAACACACACACACACACACACGCATATTTATGGGATCAAACATCTGATTGTGCTTACATAGATGTTCATAAGGTTGGGTAGAGACAGAATTTAGTGCAATACACTGTGGAGACAATAGAGCTAAACACCACACTCCACAGAACACACCAATATGAGTCTGGAGTTGAACTGGGAGCTTCTTACAAAAGAGCATTCGAAACTGGCAAAAGTATGCTACACTACCACAAACGTCTACGACATTATGTGTACCATATTCATCTGTGAATATGGTAACTTTGGATTGTATGTATGTAGTTCAAAGCACACATATGTAGGTTATATCAGTATGTGTTTAATTTGGCTTGATCATACACATGCGTTCATATTATCTGCAATTGTAGACGTGAAATGAATCCAATTTTCAAATTAGTTTCTGGTGAAGGAACTTTGAATTATGCGAAGGTGCGCCGGTAAACAACGATAAAATAAACATAATATATATATATATATATATATATACATACATGCATGCATACATACATACATACATACATACACACACACATATATATATATATATATATATATATATATACATATATTTATATATATATAAGCTATCCCACATTATGCCTATACCCGGTCACTAGGTTTTACCTGCCCATATCCAAGTTAACTTGTCCCACATTAACTATATATATTATTATATATATATATATTATTATATATTATGTATATATATATTATTATATATATATATGTATATATGATAACATCAATATATATATATATATATATATATATATATGTATATAAATACACACACATATATATATATATATATACATACATACACACGCATACACTTATATATATATATAGATATATATGTGTATACATGTGAGTGTGTGCTTGTATTTGAGTTTGTGTGTAATCGCATTTGCGCTCTTCTAGTTGTTAAATTATGTATGCACAGTCGAAGGCCGAAGCTGAATCTGTTCATTTTGAATGCTTTCGCGTATTCGCTTATTTTTATGTGCATAATTCCCGTAGTCGTTACTTGGTATGGATACATTTTGCGTAGTTCCAATTATTTAAAAAGCTTTATCTGTGTATGTTGTGTTAATTCCGTCGGCCAAACGACTGTACGAAGTTTTCCAATTGACACAAAGAAAAACATTGCAGCTAGATTTGGTGTACAAACGTTTCTAGCAATGTAACCTTTTCAAAATGCATGTCGCACATGTCAAAACATTTGCGTATAAAGATCCCTTTCGTGCATTAGCTGGTACATAATAATTTAAAGATGTTAATTCACCAATTTTTGAAGTGTTCTATTGTATACTACTATACTTACAAGCTTCTCATGTTGTCTGCAATGCTTTTCAACTGTAGGATTTTCTAAATGAGAAGCTGAAAACAAGTCTACCCGCCTCTGGAATCGCGGGGCTCGGCAATGTAGTCATACACGATCTGGATTTAGGGGGTGTGTATGTATACCGATAGTTACTGCACCACACAGATTCATACATATGCGTTTGTGTGTTTATATATAATATAAAATGTTCGTATGCATAACACCAATTATTGTAAAGGAGCATGCACGTGCAGAAGTGTCCATGAAGCGCAAGTCCTTTCGTTCGTATAAGATTCGAGCCGCTTTTTATACAATATATATTTATATATTTATATATTTATATGTATATATATATATATATATATATATATATATATATATATATAGTATATACTATATATATATCTATATATATACATAGTGTGTGTGTGTGTGTGTGTATGTATAAATTTTGTTGTAGCCCCATGCACATTCAATGTTGTATTGAATTGTGGATGTGTTCACTTACTGCATTAGGTGAGTGAGATCCCGCTCCCCATGTTATTAAAGTGCCGACTGATGAGGCAATTATCTATAGATATTTCTTGTTCCAACGACACGCATAACGTTAGTGAGAACACATATATCCGATTTAACAGGCATGTGTTGCTTATTCCTAAGACACGCACGGCCTATGTAGAATATACTCATAGTCTATACAAAGATACTCGTAGCCTCGATGGTATACATGCACATTCTAAGTTAAACTCACATACATAGGTGTATGTAGACAAACATTGACTATCGAGAGTACACACATATATCTTTTTTAATTTCACGCACAGCTTGTTGACAGATCAATATATCCTGCTGTAGCTACACTACATTCACCTGGCATTAAAAAATATCACTTGCCCTTCGCATTTCTGTAGATCGAGCGCCCATTGTGGAGCTGATTGACATTTCAGACCCATTCGATGGTATGGCCAATCCAGAGCTATATGAGGACAAGGTATAAGGTACTGATGTATGCGTATGCATTTAGGCTCTATTATAGATTTAGTCATACATAGGTGCATTCAGTGTTAGCTATATCTCATTTGTCACATGTGGTGTATGTACACGTTGGAAACATCTATATATATTCACATTTATCATGTATTGTTGTTGTTGTTCGGGTTTGCACCGGTGGTGGGCAGATAAAGAATCCAGATCTTTGCACTGACGGGGTATTGAGTAAAGATTAACGCTCTTGTATGTAATGGCACTAGTAGGTTCCTCACATGTAATTATATTCACATTTGAGCACATGTATATAGCAACAGTCGCCAGCGATTCTCGAGATTTCTCATGTTTGCTATTGCGTGGTTTGTTTAAACGCTTGGTGGGTATTTGGAATGCTCGTACTTCCTTGCGTTGGGAGATTGCAATTACGTGTGTGCACGCACAATTAGGAAATGGCTAATTGAATTGACATATGTTGAGAATTTATGATATCTCGCACGAGCATATACAATACGGGATCTGTGTACTTCACTTGCGGGTTCGTTTGGTAAACTGCCTTGCCTATGTGCACCATAACATTTGTTGCGGTTCAAACAAAGAATGCGATACGTATTCTATACATTTGTCATAGCTGAACTGCGGTAATCTCAGTTGCACTAGTCTATGCCGGAGCTGTTCAATGTACAATCTAAGCGAATCAATAGTGGAACTTACAAACTATACCGACCAGTGATGGACTGACTTTAAAGCTAATTTGTCGAATAGGTAGTTGGTTACAGATCATGTGCACAGATCTTTTAATCGGAATATCTTGAAATATTTGCTCACAGGAGAATGAAGACTTCGACGAGAGACAATACTATCGCGAAGACGCTGCGCGCCTCACTACCGTTGCAAGCGGCCCGGACTGTGTGCAGGTGGGGATGTTGGCCTGAATTCGAGTTGATCTCTTGATGCATGCCTCTGAATATATATGTTTGTGTATATATGGTGAATAGATATAATTTTGTATATATGGTGATTAGATATGTTTGTGTATATATGGTGAATAGATATGTTTGTGTATATATGGTGAATAGATATGTTTGTGTATATATGATGAATAGATATGTTTGTGTATATAAAGTGAATAGGTATGTTTGTGTATATATGGTGAATAGATATGTTTTTGTAT